CACACCTGTTGATACAACCTAGAATCATATTTGCTTTTTTTGCAACAGCATCACACTGTTGACTCATATTCAACTTGTGGTCCACTATGACCCCTAGATCCCTTTCTGCCATGCTCCTTCCTAGACAGTCGCTTCCCATCTTGTATGTATGGAACTGATTGTTCCTTCCTAAGTGGAGCACTTTGCATTTCTCTTTATTAAACCTCATCCTGTTTACCTCTGACCATTTCTCTAACTTGCTAAGGTCATTTTGAATTATGTCCCTATCCTCCAAAGAAGTTGCAACCCCACCCAGTTTGGTATCATCTGCAAACTTAATAAGCGTACTCTCTATCCCAATATCTACATCATTGATGAAGATATTGAACAGTATGGGTCCCAAAACAGACCCTTGAGGAACTCCACTTGTTATCCCTTTCCAGCAGGATTTAGAACCGTTAACAACAACTCTCTGACTACGGTTATCCAGCCAATTATGCACCCACCTTATCGTGGCCCTATCTAAGTTATATTTGCCTAGTTTATCAATAAGAATATCATGCGAGACCGTATCAAATGCCTTACTAAAGTCTAGGTATATGACATCCACCGCTTCTCCCTTATCCACAAGGCTCGTTATCTTATCAAAGAAAGCTATCAGATTAGTTTGGCATGACTTGTTCTTCACAAACCCATGCTGGCTATTCCCTATCACTTTATTACCTTCCAAGTGTTTGCATATGATTTCCTTAATTACCTGCTCCATTATCTTCCCTGGGACAGACGTTAAACTGACCGGTCTGTAGTTTCCTGGGTTGTTCTTATTCCCCTTTTTATAGATGGGCACAATATTTGCCCTTTTCCAGTCTTCTGGAATCTCCCCTGTCTGCCATGATTTTTCAAAGATCATAGCTAAAGGCTCAGATACCTCCTCTATCAGCTCCTTGAGTATCCTGGGATGCATTTCATCAGGACCTGGTGACTTGCTGACATCTAACTTTCCTAAGTGATTTTTAACTTGTTCTTTGTGTATCCTATCTTCTAAACTTACCCTCTCTCTGCTTGTATTCACTACGTTAGGCACACCTCCAGACTTCTCGGTGAAGACCGAAACAAAGAAGTCATTGAGCATCTCTGCCATTTCCAAGTTTCCTGTTACTGCTTCTCCCTCCTCACTGAGCAGTGGGCCTACCCTGTCCTTGGTCTTCCTCTTGCTTTTAATGTATTTATAAAAGGTCTTCTTGTTTCCCTTTATGCCTGTAGCTAGTTTGATCTCATTTTGTGCCTTTGCCTTTCTAATCTTGCCCCTGCATTCCTGTGTTGCTTGCCTATATTCATCCTTTGTTATTTGTCCTAGTTTCCATTTTTTATATGACTCCTTTTTTATTTTGAGATTGTGCAAGATCTCCTTGTTAAGCCAAGCTGGTCTTTTGCCATATTTTCTATCTTTCCTACACAGCGGAATTGTTTGCTTTTGGGCCCTTAACAACGTCCCTTTGAAATACTTCCAACTCTCCTCAGTTGTTTTTCCCTTCAGTCTTGCTTCCCATGGGACCTTACCTACAAGTTCTCTGAGCTTATCAAAATCTGCCTTCCTGAAATCCATTACCTCAATTGTGCTGGTCTCCCTTCTACCTTTCCTTAAGATCATGAACGCTATTATTTCATGATCACTGTCCCCTATACTGTCTTCCACTTTCAAGTTCTCAACTTGAAATGTTTATTGATTACTTCTGCCTTTTATACAATTAACAATTTTACCATCTCCATCTAGTAATGTTCTAATACAGTCACTTGGGTTTCTTTTCCTTCCTAATATCTACTGTATAGTTGAGAGAGAGAGAGAGAGAGAGAGAGAGAGAGAGAGTGTGTGTGTGTGTGTGTGTGTTAGAGATGTAAGCGACTACTCGATCAGTCGACTATCCGATAAACAAAAGCTTATTGAAGGCTATCAGAAGCAGCAAGTGGGGGGAACAGGAGACAGTGCTGGGGGGAACTGGCTTAAAAGCCAGTTCCCCTCAGCACCATCTCCAATGAAGGGCAGAGGAGGCAGAAGGGTAGCGGGAACCAGGCATGAGCCAGGAATAAGCTTATTCCTGGCTCATGCCTAATCCCAGATGCACCTCTGCTTTTTATGTATTAAGAGCCAACAGAAAAATTCATCAACCAGTTGATTAAACTAAATTCAGCTCGTGTGTGTGTGTGTGTGTGTGTGTGAGATTACCAAGCAATTAACTCAAAGTTTTCTTTATTATCATGTTGCTCCTACTGCTTTCCCAGCTTCCTCCTCAATACTTATGTATCTTGCTGTTCAGAGAACTAGCAATGTGAACACACCTTGCTGATCACAAAGAGGGAAAAAAAGGCAAACCCAAATCTACCATGTAAGAATGTAGATAAAAGAGAAAGAAAAGCAGGTGCACTCTGCTAAATGTGCAGCTTTGATCAAAACAGCCATCAAAATGTTAGTATTCATAACAAATGACAGAAAAAAATATTGAAATCACTATAATGTCATCCTATATATCACTGGAGTGGCGCCTTCATTTTTTGTTCCGCTCCTCATCCTCAAAACAGATACAGCAGAAATAAAGAGTCCCTGAAATGGAGGTGACAAACGTGACTGAGGACAGAAAAGAGACAAAAAAGATTAAAACTAAGTTTAGAGAAGGAACACCTAAAAGGTGACATTCAAGCTGTAAATAAAACACGGACTGGTACAGGAAACATATGAGCATGTAGATACATTTATTCATAAAACAAGAACCAAGTGATGTTCAATTAAGGACACAATTTCAAAAATAAAAGATTAATTTTTTAACACAACACGTAGCTTGAAAAACTGTCACAAAATAGCTTAAACTGATTAATTTGCAGGATTACAAAAGAAGCAGGCATTTCCCAAAGGAGAAGGGTTATAAACTTCCTTCTTCAGGTGGTAAGCACCTAAATGACAGGATAAGAAGCACCTTCCCCTATGCACTGCTGATTTCAAAAAGCCACTGTCTATAAGGGTTCATGCAGCTTCCTCTGAAGTAGCTGGCTCTGTCAGAGACGAGATTCTTGATTTGATGTTACTGGGCTGATTCAGTATTGCCGTTCCTGTCCTCATATGCAGAATTGCTTCTTATAAAACAAGATTCTGTTTCCAAAGAGACAGAGCTCAGCATATAGCTGGGCAGGAAATCCTTCAGGTGTGTGCATGTGTGAGATCGCACTAATTAATTAAAAATATTTGACCTGGCATAACATCATAAGGTAAATTTATCAGTCACACTGTTGAATCAACACTTGGCATGGACACAATCTATGAGGAACACCACTGAATCAGTTTACTCAGAATGTACACATTCTGAACTCTTCTTTCAGGCCTAGCTGGTTTAAAACATTGAAAATTAAAAACAAAGTTCAACATCAAATTGTAAAAAACCAGGGATAGAATAATAGAATACTAGGACTGGAAGGGAACTCGAGAGGTCATTGAGTCCAGTCCCCTGCCCTCATGGCAAGGATAGGCCAGTGTGAAGCCAAAGATGTCAGCTGCCTTGCTTTATTTCTACTTGAAATATTCATGGAGAACTTTATTTGCAGCAGTCTCTCAAAGTAAGTGATTTGATGCCCTTTCCACTTATAAAATAAGACTAAAATAGTCCAATGGACCCATACAACCGCCCAGGGGGAATATTCCAGCATCCATATGTGGATAAATGTAAAGTAATGCACATTGGAAAAAATAACCCCAACTATACGTACAGTATGATGGGGCTAATTTGGCTACAACAAATCAGGAAAGAGATCTTGGAGTTATTGTGGACAGTTCTCTGAAAACTTCCACACAGAGTGCAGCGGCGGTCAAAAAGGCCAATAGGATACTAGGAATTAGGCAAATAGGAATTAGGCAAAAAGGCAAATAGGATGCTAAGAAAGGGATAGAAAATAAGACACGGAATATCTTACTGCCCCTGTATAAAACTATGGTATGCCCACATCTTGAATACTGTGTACAGATGTGGTCTTCTCACCTCAAAAAAGATATTTTGGTCTTGGAAAGGGTTCAGAAAATGGCAACTAAAATGATGAGGGGTTTGGAACGGGTCCCATATGAAGAGAGGCTAAAGCGACTGGGACTTTTCAGTTTAGAAAAGAGGAGACTGAGGGGGGATATGATAGAGGTATATAAAATCATGAGTGGTATGGAGAGGGCCGATAAAGAAAAGTTATTTATTAGTTCCCATAATAGAAGAACTAGAGGACACCAAATGAAATTAATGGGTAGCAGGTTTAAAACTAATAAAAGAAAGTTCTTCTTCACACAGCGTGTAGTCAACCTGTGGAACTCCTTGTCAGAGGAGGCTGTGAAGGCTAGGGCTATAACAGAATTTAAAGAGAAACTAGATCATTTCATGGAGGTTAGGTCCATAAAAGGCTATTAGCCAGGGGACAGAAATGGAGTCCCTGGCCTCTGTTTGTCAGAGGCTGGAGGTGGATTGCACAAGACAAATCGCTTGATCACTGTCTTCGGTCCACCCCCTCTAGGGCTCCTGGTGCTGGCCACTGTCAGCAGACAGGCTACTGGGCTAGATGGACCTTTGGTCTGACCCAGTACGGCCATTCTTATGTTCTTGCGTTCTTATCCATGAATTATTCACAACAATAAATCATGCATCTAGACTGGCATGATTTTGCGGAAATGCTTTTAACGGAAAAGTTTTTCCGTTAAAAGTATTTCCGCAAAAGACACGGTTGCCTTTGCGCAAAAAGTGCTTTTGTGCAAAAGCATCTGTGACCAGTCTAGATGCGATTTTGCGCAAGAAAGCCCCGATCGCCATTTTTGCCATCGGGGCTTTTTTGCGCAAAACGGTTCTTCCCTGTCTACACTGGAGCTCTTGCGCAAAAACATTTGCGCAAGAGGGCTTTTTCCCGAGCGGGAGCGCCAGTGTATTTGCACAAGAACACTGACAATCTTACATTAGATCGTCAGTGTTCTTGCGCAAATTCAAGCGGCCAGTGTAGACAGCTGGCAAGTTTTTGCGCAAAAGCGGTAGCTTTTGCAGAACAACTTGCTAGTCTAGACGCAGCCTCAGTGTTTTCTTAAACACACAAACATGCAGACTGCAGAGTTTGTGGTTTGTGCCCATTTATGCCTACAAAAAGAAGATCACCCTTTTCAAAATGTCTGAAGACTGATTGTCTTTTGTGCAGGTATTTACTACCACGTGAAAACCTTCCTCTCCAGGGACACTGCAGGAAAGGCCATTGGCAACCACTAGCAACCAATCTACTTCAAAAGCCAAGGAAAACATAACTCAACTGGCTCCCGTGATTCAGCCATGAGAGACGTAATGTCCCTGGTTCTGAGGAGCTGGCAGCTGTGGTTTGAGCGTAGAGCAGAGAGAAAGCTCTACGCATTAGACAGGTTCCTATGGGACACAGAGAGGAAAAGGTGTGAATTCGCAGTGACTCAAATTACTTCTCAGCTCTAGAAGTGACACATCGCTTTACCTGAAACCTAGGACTCTTTCCGAAACTAAATCAGTTCCTTCTGAACAAGTAACTTGTAACTTCCACTGCCCTGGTTTTTCCTCCTGGCTTGCATAACTAGAGACTTTACAGCCTATGAGATAGTGTATTGTCATCTGAATATTTGCATGGTCTGAGGTCCTCACCTACCTCATTTAAATTGTAATTGGTTTGCACAAGAGAGACCCGCCCAAAATTTTCTCTATAAATGGTGTTTCAAGCACAGCTTCAAGCCTCATCATACAAGATTGGCCAGAGTACCGGACGCGAGTGGCAGAATAGCAAGAAACCATGGCTGGTGAGTAAAATATAAGTCTCTCAACAAATACCCTACGGGCAACTGAGTAAGGTTATGTTCCCTTATCAGAATGGTTGGCTTAGTGGGAATTTGTAGCAAAGGGCTTTAAGTGTTGCATATTCTATTTTGGGGTTAGCAATCTTTGGCACGTCGGGGTACTTTGCTGGCAGAATGCAGGACCATGTGTTACGCCGCGTGTCCACAGCCATGTCCACTGTGCCCAGTGGCCACGGTTTGCAGTTCAGAAACTATTTCCCTAGCAGGGTGGGGAAGCACTGGAATGGGCTGCTTAGGGCGGTGGTGGAGTCTCAGTCCCTAAAGGTTTTTAAGGCTGGGCTTAAAGTTTTAGTTGTGGTTGGTCTTGCACTGAGCAGGGGGTTGGGTCTGGATGTCCTCCTGAGGCCTTTTTCACTTCTCATCTGCAATGATTTTACAAGCCTGTGTTTATAGGGGTGTTTGTGTATTGAGCAGACATGTTGGGCCTGAAGGTGCAAGGTGTATGCAGGGCACCCCTTGGACTTGCACTAGCGCCTTTAAACCTTCTTATGAGCCCCATCAGGGAAATTTAGCCTGGAGAGGGAATGAATCACTATTTCTCTCTGCCATGCCCCTCGCTTTCTGTGCTGGCATTGGAGCTTGGGCTTTGCAGGCATACCATGAATCAGGGCCATCATATGGTGGAACTGGAAAGAGACCCAGAGAGCAGCAGCCAACGAGCAGAAACAAAGAGCTTGATTTTCCTCTCACTCTGATGTAAATGAAGAATAAATCCATGGAAGTCAATGGGCTGCATGGATGGAGGCAGAGGAGAATCAGGCCCATGGACTCTAGAAGCCACACACGTTATCTACACACGATGGTTTTTAAAATTGCCTTGGGGTGACTGGAACCACTTACTATCTTGGCATCTTCCTCGTCGATTTATTCTGCCAGGGCTGCCTACAGGGGTGCAAGGCCTGGAGCAACCCTGTCGCAGGCCAAGACCCCTCCTCTACTTCCCACCCCACCCTGCTCTTTCCTCCCCCTTGCCCTAAGCCCCTCCTCCAGCCCCATGAGCAGGGGTCGGCCCCCCCTTACATCACCACAGCTGTGGGAAACGAGTGGCCCAAGAGCCTGCTCTGCTCCACTTCACCGCAGTGGCAGGGAGAGCCCTGGGCCAGGGTCAGGGCACCCTGCGTCCCTGCTGCAGTGAAGCTGAGGTTACCATGATGCAGTCTGGGTGACACTAGGGCTGGCTGCCCCGCCCTGTCCCTTCCACCTGAGACCCCATCCCTTTTGGGAGGACAAGGCCAGCCCCGCCACCCACACACACACACCCATCCCCCCCCTTTGCCGGCAATTCTGTGGGGCCCTTGATCTGCTTAATTAAATCTTGTGTAACAGCCATGAAAAGTGCTACTGGCTACTTCAGAGAACTCTTTGTTAACAAAGGGTGTGTGTGTTAAAACTCTACAGTAAAACACTAACCGCAGATTGCAGCAAGAAGGAAATAACCACTAGCCACAATTGCCTCAGTGTAACAGCTGTGCAGTGATGTGGCAACGTAATCCACATATCTCCTGGGTGCGGTGTTCAGTTTCATCTAGTGACACCAAAACCACTTAGAGAGAGATTAATGAACCTGCTCGATATGTGGCTTCATGCAGTGACGGTTCATGCATTCACATACAGGTCCCGGTTTGACCCTGCTCCCAATGACTGGTGTCTGTTGGGGTTTTAAAAGGGGAGGACTCAGCACCACATCAGCACCACAGACCTATTTTAAAAAGTGGCTCCACAAACATTTCCCCCAACGACTCACAGAATCCTAGCTCTGGAAGAGCTCTCAGGAAACATCAAGTCCGGCCCCTGCCCAACGCAGGACCAACCCCAAATCAATCAACCAAGCCAGGGCTCTGTCAAGCTGGAACGTAACATCTCTAGGGATGGAGATTCGACTCCCTCCCCAGGGAACCCATCCCAGGGCTTCACCACCCTCCTAGTAAAATAGTTTTTTCCTAATATCCAAACTAGACCTCCCCTTGTTCTGCCATCTGTCACTACTGACAACAGATTCCCTCCGTCCTCTTTGGAACCTCCCTTCAGGTAGTTAAAGGCTGCTATCAAATCCCTCCTCACTCTTCTCGTCTGCAGACTAAAGAAGCCCAAATCCCTCAGCCTCTCCTTGTAAGTCATGTGCTCCAGCCCCTAATTATTTGCCCTCAACTGGACTCTCTCCAATGCGTCCACATCCTTTCTATAGTGGGGAGTCCAGAACTGGACACAATTCTCCAGATCTGGCCTCATCAGTGCTGAATAAAGGGGAATAATCACTTCTCTAGATCTGCTGGCAATGCTCCTCCTCGTGCACCCTAATATTCCATTAGCTTTCTTGGCTACAAGGGCCCCTGTTGATTCATATCCAGCTTCTCATCCACTGAAACCCCAGGTCCTTTTCTGCCAAACAGCTACTTAGCCATTCAGTCCCCAGCCTGTAACAGTGCTTGGGATTCTTCTGTCCTAACTCTGCACTGGTCCTTGTTGAACCTCATGAGATTTCTTTTGGCCCAAGCCTCCAATTTCTCCAGGTCACTATGCCTAACATAGTGAATGCTAGTGGGAAAGGGGTAGGTTTAAAAGATAAAATTAAAAAAGGAAAAGTTAAAAATCACTCAGAAAAGTTAGATGTCTGCAAGTCACCAGGGCCTGATGAAATGCATCCTAGAATACTCAAGGAGCAGATACAGGAGGTATCTGAGCTATTAACTATCATCTTTGAAAAGTCATGGAAGTCAGGAGAGATTCCAGAAGACTGGAAAAGGGCAAATCTAGTGCCCATCTATAAAAAGGGAAATAAGAACCCAAGGAACTACAGACCAGTCAGTTTAACTTCTGTGTCAGGAAAGATAATAGAGTAAGTAATTAAGGAATTCATCTGCAAACATCTGGAAGATAATAAGGTGATAGGGAACAGCCAGCATGGATTTGTAAAGAACAAATCATGTCAAACCAATCTGATAGCTTTCTTTGATAGGATATCGAGTCTTGTGAATAAGAATTGTCAAAGTCAGACAGGACTCACAGATTTGGCAGACTGCTCTGTTTATTTCAGCAAAGCTTTGCTAAAATGCATGGAGAAAATGTGAGTACCCTACAAGGTTCAAACCCCTTGATTTTATACAGTCAAAAGGAAGCCAAAATTAACAGGATTAAAAGGGGGGCAAAACTTCACATAATTAGTGTGAGGCTACTCAAGTACTCTTCATTTCAATATTAAGCACACAGCAATCTCCTGGCTATATCTCCCTGATTATCTGGAATTGTTTCCTAACACTTAATGTTTCTTTTCCTGTTAAACTCAGGCCCAAATTGGCTAGCACCTTGATCTGCATACCTACAATCAACATTAACATACTTTTCTTCTTCCTCTTAAAAGACAAATTACAGCACAATTCATCTTTTTCTTACAGTATAATTCTTTCTACTTTCACAATCCCTCCTTTTGGTCAAGCTTCGCCTATGACCAACAATTACTGGGTTTCTTGCATTAACCGTTCTTTGTCTCTCTGTTCATCAGTGATATTTAAAATAATCAGATTAGCACTCTGGTGAGGGGTAGCTAGCTGTGTGATATGTTTTGCACAGTTTTGGATACAACAGGAGATTAACTGAAAACATACAAAAATCATTAAGATCCCAAATAGGATAGTCAGGGCTCCCTGAAACAACCAGTTTCCTATGCCAGAGAAATTGAACAAGTTACTCAGCCATTTCCACAGGGAACTTGGCTCTTCGTGAGGAAGATATGCAATCTT